GAGATGATCAAGCGGGAGCAGAGACAGCCTGGGCCCCCACCTGCATCCTCTTTCTGCTCACCTTGTTGAAGAAGTAGATGGAGGCGAGGATGGTGAACATAGTTATAGCCAGGGTCACATTCTAGGGAAGGAGGTCAGAGGTCAGGACCTTTCCCCTCACTGTCCTGGCCCCGCCCCTGGCCTTCCTCCCCGACCGTCCTCACTTCCTGAAAGTTCATGGCCATGGGACCTTGGCCGCAGTTAGCTGCACCTCTCTCCCTTTCCCTGGCCTCTGAGCCAAAGAGGGGAGAAACCTCTGGAACCAAGAGGGGGTCGTCGGGGAGACCAGAATGGTGGCCATGGTGACCAGGGAAGTGCATTCTGGGTAGAGGGGACATTTCTACAGGGGATTGGGGGAGAGTGGGACACAGATGTGAGATGTCACGGGGAGTCTCTGAATTGGGCATGGAGATGAATAAGATCCGAGAGCCCAGAACGCACACGCGTGGGAGAACAGGTAAGGTGGCCCAGGTGAAACTCGCTCCTCCAGCGTCCACCACACACAAGGGAGAGCCATGCAGTGGTGGTTGGGTTGGTCACCAGCTTGGGGTGGGATTAGAAGTTGTCAGGTGGAACTGTGGCAGTGACAGTGGCAGCAGCTTCCTGCCTCTGGACCTTAGGAACAATGATGTACCTTGGCTGTGACAGCCTGAGCCACTGGGCCCGCCTCCCACTCACTCTGTAGGCCCCTGCCACGATTTCTGTCCCTTTGCCCACACTGCCAGAAACAGGGAGCCACGAACAAGCCGTGGACCCTCCTGTAGAGGCTGCAGGCTGTGCACTCCCTCCTGAGATGCCCCTGTGCCCACACTGACCTACGCTCAGGTGCCTTGGGCTACTCATCCGAGTGTCTAGAAAAGGACACCAGTTTGAGGTGCACTTTGTGCTGTCCCAGTGGGGGTGGGGGGAGGCCGTGCTCCACCTCTGATCCTCACTCCTAGCAGTGATGCCCCAGACAGGGACAGCGGGCAGGAAGTGGCGGCTGAGTGGAAGTGTGCACTCTGGCTCCTTCGTGGGGCAGTGACGGGAGGGGGCATGTCACTTAAGACAGTCTTTTTGTGTGCTTTTAATATATAAAAAATAGGCTCTACCAGGTTGTTTGGAGGACTGAGGATTATAATATGCACGCAGGTGTGTCTGTACCTATCTACATCTACCAAAAAAGCCAGACTACATGGTCTGGATATTCAGGGCGCCTTCCTTATTATTTATGGCAGGTTTGCTCTCATTATCTGCAGTAGTTGCGCTGGGTACCTGGGAGCGTGGCATCAGTAAATACGATGATTTGCTTCTGGAAAATGTATAGACAATGCTGGGCACAGTGGTGCACGCCTGTAATCCCAGCAGCTGGGGAGGCTGAGGCAGGAGGATTGTGAGTTCAAAGCCAGCCTCAGCAACTTAGCAAGGCACTAAGCAACTCAGTGAGACCCTGTCTCTAAATAAAATACAAAATAGGACTGGGCATGTGGCTCAGTGGTTGAATGACCCTGAGTTCAGTCCCTGGTACAAAAAAAAAAAAAAGTACAGACAGTTAGTTCCTAGTTTGACTTGTGAGTTTTCAACTTTACGATGATGCCGAAGCCATGTGCACTGGGTAAAAACTGTACTTGAACTCCCGAGTTTTGCTCTTTTCCTGGGCCAGGAGGGGGTGGGGAGATCCTCTCCCCCCACCCTGGGCAGCCACCACCCTGCGAGGGGCTGCCAGGCTGTGGGACTCAGTGAGTCAGGGGTGTTGAAGGCATATCTGACTTACGATGTTGGGATGGGTGCTCATTGTAAATTGAGGAGTATTTGTGTATATATTAGAGGAAATATTTATTTTATTATATACTTTATTTATACATATTTTATTAATGAAGTGATGGATCTTTTTTCACAGATTTTCTGTATTTTAAAAAATTTAACAAGACCTATGACCAGGTTAGGATGGTCCCAGACAGGGCTCTGGACTGGACAAAACAACTATAAGGATTTGGAGAGAAATTGGGGGACATTTGGATAGAGAGTGGAGATCACATAAGAAGAAAGCACTCGTGTCATAGGAAGAGGAGACAGCTGGGCGTGGATATGCCTGTCTCCCAGCTATGGAGAGGCGGAGGCAGAAGGATGGAAAGTTCAAGGCCAGCACTGGCCACTACCCAGACGCTGCCTCAAAATAAAATAAAAAGGGCTGGGGATGTAGCCCAGTCGTAGAGTGCTTGCCTAACCAACCCGGAATCAACCCACAGTAACTCAAACCAACCAACAAACTGCCTAGGAGATACTCTTTGAAAACCCGTTTCTCTAAGTGCTGAATATATTTGAACTCATCTGATCCAATTTGTGAAATTATGGCACAGAGAAGTGGGATGACTTGCCCAAAGTCACACAGTTTATATATAAATGGTGAAGCCAGGATTTGAACCGAATCTGTCCAATTATTGGACTTGTGGGTCCAAGTACTGGGCCCTATTGGTTTTGATCAGCTGCAGGTGGAAGAAGTTAATCTCCAAGAAGTCCAGGAGTCCCAACATTTAGGAGCAAGGAAGGGAAGAACAGATTCAGAGTAGGGGAAGGAGAGGGAGGAGAGGAGAGGGGGACTCCCTCAGGCAATGACTCTGCCCGTGCCTCGGTTTCCTATCTGTGGATGGGGTGGTGGTAACGGTGGAGAGTACACGGGTTAATCCAGCGTGGCTGGCGAGCCCCGGGAGCTGCTGCGGGGGCGTGCCGGGGCCTGCGCCGGGGCCTGCTCCTCCGGGGGCTGCGGCCCAGGGTAATGAGCGGGCGAGGCCCGGCGCAGTCGGCGGCTGAGCTCAGCGTCTGGGCTGCGTGGAGATGGCCGGGCTGGGGTTGCAGGGCCACGCTGCTGGACTGCCCCTGCTGCTGCTGCAGCTGCCGCACCAGGCCCTGCCAGAAGGACCCCTGGCGTTCGTGGCTCTGGTGAGCTGCCCCCACCCACCTGGCCCCTCCTCTGTCCCAGGCCAGCCCTGACCCCATTTGTCCCCAGGTGTTCCGCCATGGCGACCGGGCTCCGCTGGCCTCCTACCCCACAGACCCACACAAGGAAGCCGTTTCTGCCCTCTGGCCTCGAGGCCTGGGCCAGCTGACCAGGGTGAGAAGTGGGCGTGGGGGCGAGGTGCGTGGTGGGTGAGGAGGGTGTGCTGAGACCTTGCTCTGTCCCCAGGAGGGAGTCCGCCAGCAGCTGGAGCTGGGCCACTTCCTGCGGAGGCGCTACAAGTCCTTTCTAAGTCCCCAGTACCGGCGGGAGGAGGTACTGGCACCTTTACCTCTACCTGGCTTCCCGACCTCCCACGTTTGACTCCAGTGCTCCCTTTGGGTGCCACCTCTGGCCTTTGCTCTCCATCAATTTGCCCTACATTCTGTGGACCTCAGAGCCACCAATAAACCCACATTGACTTCTAATCTCACCTCAATCTGACACCCTGACCTCTGACCTTACTTTCTGGCCTCCACCTTTGTCTTCACTCCCACTGACTCCAGCTAGACCTCTGACTCCTAAACTCAATTCTTTCCAACTTGTCCTCCTGACCTCCAGCATTTGATCTCTAGCCGTCAGTCCTTCATCCATTCTAACCTTCCTTTTCTGATGTTTAGGATCGGGCCTCCTGACTTCTGACCCTGATCCCTCTGAGGACAATATACCTAACTGGCAACATCCCGCCTCCCATCCTCAGTTTGACCTCTTGCCTCCATTCCCCTGACTCTGAGGATCTTGACTGTCATCTACCCAGCTGACTCCTTCAACCCTCATCTACCCAACACCTGCCCTCCAACCTGAGGGCTCCTGACATTGACCTCTGACACATTTAAAGGCCACACATTTGAACCCACCTTAAATGCCTCATCTTTAATCTGTTTTCATGACCTTCAAGCAACACCAAACTGAATCTAAAGCCATTGATTTGCCACCACATCTGACCCTGTGCCCCTTCCTGTTGCACCCCCCCTTCCCCGTCCCAGGTGTACATCCGGAGCACAGACTTCGACCGGACCCTGGAGAGCGCTCAGGCCAACCTGGCTGGGCTGTTCCCGGAGGCAGCCCCGGGGAGCCCTGAGGCCGACTGGAGGCCAATTCCTGTGCACACCGTGCCTGTTGCTGAGGACAAGGTCTGGGGCTGAATGGGGGTGGGAGAGAATAGAGATAGAGATATTGAGATGGAGAGGGACGGAGGTGGCTCAAGGCCTGAGGGTTGGTCAGCTTCCAGAAGCCTCATATAGCTCAAAGCAGTGAACCTGTCTCTGGGCTAAGCTGTCCATGGGCAAGCCACCCCTCCCATGAGACTCAGCTGGATTGGGGAGGGACTGGGAGGGAGACAGGGACTGAGACCCGGGGCCCACAGTTGTCCTGAGCCTCAGTTTTCTTCAGCTGCTGAGATTCCCCATGCGCAGCTGTCCTCGATACCATGAGCTGCTGCGGGAGTCCACAGAGGCCGCTGAGTACCAGGAGGCCCTGGAGGGCTGGACGGTGAGCAGGGTGATGGGCTGGCGGGGCAGGGTGCCAGGTTCTAGGCTCACCCAGCCTGTGCACCCAGGACTTTCTGACTCGCCTGAGCAACTTCACGGGGCTGACGCTGGTTGGGGAGCCACTGCACAGGGCATGGAAGGTTCTGGACACACTCATATGCCAGGTAAGCCCCCTGCCCTGTCCCTCCGGACCAAGGGGTTCAACTTTGCCCCATGCTACTGGGTTTCCCCATCTGCATACCAGGAATGGCAGCCCATCTCCTCTGTGGTTGCCACAAAGATTAAAGTGACTAATCCATGAAACAGGCTTATGGGAGCAGCTGGCACACTGGGCCACACAGAGGTGGAGGCTGTTTTGGCAATACTTTCTCTGCTATCCTGTAATCAGAAAAGCTCCATAAACCAAAACTTGGGCAGCAGGAGCGGACCTGACGCGGTGCCATGCACAGAGGGAAGCGCGTGTGGGGTTACAAGGACCGCCCATGCCCTCTGTAATGTCTAGATCCCAAAATGCCTCTGCCTAAAGGTGTCAGATAAGAGCTGCTGAACTGTAGAATGAGACAACTGCTGCTGGTCGGTGGCCCATGCCTGTAACCTCAGACTTAGGAGGCTGAGGCAGGAGGGTTGTCAGTTCAGGCCAGCGTGGCAATTTAGTGA